CTGGTCTGCAAAAGGAAGGGTAAGAGATGGGGCAGAACTTTCCATGCCTTAACTGTGGCAGTACTTAGCAGTTGAAATACCCTCAGGAGGTATCCCCCTTAATAACTTGTTATTTAACAACAGAGCTGTGGGAAGCTAGATCTGCACAGGAACTGTAAAATTAGCCATTTTTTCCTGACTGACTGTCACTGATAAGAGCAGGATGACTATTTAAAGTCTGTCAGCAATAATAGGTCATGCTAGGAGTGGGGCAGGGGCTGTGTGCCCCTCAGGAATATGCCAAGAACAGGTAATTACTATAGAAATTGTAACTGTGTGAGTGAGGAACAACCTGTAATTTTTCCTATTTTTTTATCAGATATACTATGGTACAAAATAACTCTAACCACCAAGTTTCTTTTGGAAGGCTGGTTTATTTCCCCCCCCCCCCCCCTCTTATCTCTTTCTAATCCTAACTAATTTGCTAGTTAATAACTTCCCAAATCTGCCAGAATCTATTCTGGAACCTGGTTGCAAGTTCCAGACCTAAAGAAGGTATTTCTAATATATATCACTAGAAATTTGGGGAAGTCTCCATTTGGATGAAAAAGAATAACATTTAAGAGATTTCAAAGTTACCCACTGCTTTAGAGTAATAGTTGGCTGAAAGTACCTGAAAGAAGCGAACATTTCATTGGTACTTTGAAGGAGGATTTTTTTAATATCTACTATCAGAAAATAGAGGTGCATTACCCAATGAAATAAAAATCAGAAAGAACAGATTTCTGCTCTGAAAATAAGATACTCGAGATAATTAACTTTGAAGAAAATTAGTAGCAACTAAAGGGGATAATTTGGCAGTTTTTAAAGTTAGCATTGTGGATGCTGTTTCTATTATAAAATATGCCTGCTAATTAGTGAAATTAATGGAATGTGTTAATCTTACCAAACATAAGACTCTTAACCCATATTTCTGTACCACTTAACAACTGTTCATTATATCCGAATCACAACTTTATGAATAAAGTTTTGTATTTCAACATGGAAAAGTAATTTCAAACATATTAATCAGTTATGGAAAGCTTATTTCACAGCTAAGGAAATACATACACCTACAGGCCTTAATCATTCAGAATTCCAAAAGCATTTCTATCTACCGCATATGTACAGTAAGTACAAATTCAGATTGGAGAAGTAAGGCTGCTCAATTAACTTCTGAAATCACAACAGGTGGTTTTAATAAAATTAAGAATATCCTTCATCATCTAATCCACTGAATTTTCAAAACAAGGAATAAACTCAGTTTTCTGAATGTCTTCAATAGGGCCTTTGTGACTAAGTGAAGTAAAAAGACAGGAACACAGTTATTGAATTCCCCAAAATTAAATATTGACATTGGGCTTCAATACATTTCTTAGCCAAAACATACCCAGTAGAGATTTTATCAATTTGCTGGATTTTTTTTTATCAAATTTCTTCTAAAGTATGCAATAATCTACATTCTCCCTTTCTAAAGCTGAGAAGTTCTGGGACAGTATCATCAAAAGTCACAGAGTTTTTAAGTTATGGACTACCTGTGGGTAACGAATGAAATCATATCTCTGGATACACTAATGCACCACTGACCAGACACCAATCCAATCCTCTTTTGAAACAATTAGAGAGAGATTATAGAGTCAGAAGTATATAGCATACTAAATCTAAACTAGAAACTTTCACAATATACATCATCCCATTTAATTAGAACAAAATTAAGGAGGTTTATTTTCACTGAGATCTGTAAGTTCTACCCACATTATTAGAAGATGAAGGAGGAAAGGGAAGACATACATCTTGCTTATATCTTCAAAGTATTTTTCTTACTGTATGTACATTTTTTGCAAATAAAAGAGATAATCACATAGTCAGTTAAATGAATACTAGAATATTAAACCAAAAAAACCCTTAAAATTTTAATTAATATGCATTAAGCACTATATAAATACTGGAATACTTTCCAAATCTGCTAAGCATGTCTTTATTAATTTAGTTAATTGTATTTTTATTTATGAATCATAATTTCAGAGTGTGGATTATTAGGTCTAGCTTCTGCATTTCTT